GTTTTTAATTGGCATAACATTAAATTCAGAACTGTTTCCTGAACACAGGACACTGAACAGATTTATCACCTTTACTATAACATCATATTTCACTGTTATCGTTAATGTCATTTTCTTTTTATTGTACTTGGTACTTTACAACAACCATGCTCTTCATGTTGCTGAAGCCTATCTTAGTTCTGAAGAATGACTTCTCCCCTCGGATCGCAGTGTGTGTGTGACTGTGTGCATGAGTTAACGATTGATTAGTTCAGGTGATAATACATTGTCCTATTTGTAAATGAGTTTGTTCACCAATGGGATATGATTTTATGAAAGTCATGACGTCATTGTAGTAAGGTAGTTTGGGGGCTCGTCCGGGATTGGCACTAACATCAACAATACAGTTGTGTTTAGAGGACAAGGCCTGGTTACACATTTCTTCACTTACAAAATCTAGTCAATGAACTAGACTACCCAAGCATACAATAACATTACGCCAACAGAAAAGAAAACAAAATGAGAAATAGGCAGAGCTGAGATCCGGTACATCCAATGACCAGCATTTAAAATGTTAGATACAACAGTGTCCTTTTGCCTGTTGAATTTACAATCATGTGCTCCAATCTATGGTTGCGGACAGCATTCAAATTCAAAGACATTAATGCGTTTGTATATTCACACTAGACACCCTTCTTAAATAACAGAGCTCTAGTTAGAGCACCATAGAGTACTCTGCATTCATACATTTACTCTTGAAGTTAGAGCTCTACTGTGTGTGATTGACAGACCGTCAGCCCAATAAGAGTTTGCGGGGGGCTCTGAGGGTAATGCCAAATATCTTCTGCCACCTGAGGTTTCTCAATTATACATCAGAGTTCCGGAAGCATGAATAGAATCTTTGCACCCTGTTACAGAGACTCCGCCAGCCACCAGCTGTTAGTACTGTTGTAAAATGAGTGTTGAGGAAACCCAGGGAATGAGTATCTGTCACAGGGTCTGAGGAGGGAGACACATGAGTCTGAGAGTGTATTTAAATCCTATTTGTGTAAAGAATGTTGTCCCTGCACGTGCTGTATGTGCATTGCATATTGGATGAATGGTTTTTCAATATTACTTTTTAAGTACAGTATATATACAAGTGAAATATATATATATGTATATATCATTATAAATGATATACATGTATATATATATCAAGAGAATTATATATATTTTTTTAATATAAAGTTCATAAAGTTTATTCATTTAGTTTATATATCCAGCCCTACACTTTAGGTCTAAAATATCTCTTTATAGCAATATGTCCTTGACAGTCATAGTAATATGTCTCTGACCTTCATAGCAATATGTCTCTGATCTTCATAACGATATGTCCTCAACATTCATAGTAATATGTCTCTAACCTTCATAGCAATATATCTCTGATCTTCATAACGATATGTCTTCGACATTCATATTAATATGTCTCTGATCTTCATAATGATATGTCCTCAACATTCATAGTAATATGTCTCTGATCTTCATAGCGATATGTCTCTGATCTTCATAGCGATATGTCTCTGATCTTCATAACAATATGTCTCTGATCTTCATAGCGATATCTCTCTGATCTTCATAACAATATGTCTCTGATCTTCATAACGATATGTCTCTGATCTTCATAGCAATATGTCTCTGATCTTCATAGCGATATGTCTATGATCTTCATAATGATATGTCTCTGATCTTCATAATGATATGTCCTCAACATTCATAGCAATATGTCTCTGATCTTCATAGCAATATGTCTCTGATCTTCATAGCGATATGTCTCTGATCTTCATAATGATATGTCCTCAACATTCATAGCGATATGTCTCTGATCTTCATAATGATATGTCTCTGATCTTCATAGCGATATGTCTCTGATCTTCATAACAATATGTCTCTGATCTTCATAGCGATATGTCTCTGATCTTCATAACAATATGTCTCTGATCTTCATAGCGATATGTCTCTGATCTTCATAACAATATGTCTCTGATCTTCATAGCGATATGTCTCTGATCGTCATAACGATATGTCTCTGATCTTCATAACAATATGTCTCTGATCTTCATAGCGATATGTCTCTGATCGTCATAACGATATGTCTCTGATCTTCATAATGATATGTCCTCAACATTCATAGTAATATGTCTCTGATCTTCATAGCAATATGTCTCTGATCTTCATAACGATATGTCTCTGATCTTCATAATGATATGTCCTCAACATTCATAGTAATATGTCTCTGATCTTCATAACGATATGTCTCTGATCGTCATAACGATATGTCTCTGATCTTCATAACAATATGTCTCTGATCTTCATAGCGATATGTCTCTGATCGTCATAACGATATGTCTCTGATCTTCATAATGATATGTCCTCAACATTCATAGTAATATGTCTCTGATCTTCATAGCAATATGTCTCTGATCTTCATAACGATATGTCTCTGATCTTCATAATGATATGTCCTCAACATTCATAGTAATATGTCTCTGATCTTCATAACGATATGTCTCTGATCTTCATAATGATATGTCCTCAACATTCATAGTAATATGTCTCTGATCTTCATAGCAATATGTCTCAATCCATTATAGCAAAATGTCTTTGTCTGACCCAAGTTGAACCCTGTTATACTCTGTATGACCCAAGTCATACCTTGTTTGATTTGTATTATTTGAGGTTTGCATTGGGTTTAAAGTAGACAACTCAGGGGGAGAGTTTCTGCACTAACCCACTGGCATACAGAGGGAACACTGCCTCCTACTGGCCCTCCAACATACCTCACAGTTGCATCTGTTCTTTCAACCTGGACCCAACCAGGTAGGAGCCTGTTTAGCCTATATAACCTGTCAGGCACTATGCTCCTGGAGGGAACGTGACCCAGGTTGCTGACTCTCAGCCATAAAGATAAACGGACAGAAGAACAGTCTGATATAATGTCAACCGAGATATTTGAACCTTGACACCCAAAGTATTTCTCTTTCATTCCATTTCACAACCTCACACAGGTGTTTTGTGATTCTTAAGACTCTGTCCTTACAGACATTACCGTTTAATAACTTTTCTTATCACTACTATAAGACATATTTGTTATCACTCCCTTTTTACAACTCTTTTCTTATCATTGTTTACCAGTTCAGTGCAGACTTAACTGTAGACAGTCACCTTTCCTTATAAAAGTCAGTACTGGGAGTGAGACAGAAAGCGATGATTTGTTAAGACCCTTTAAGAATCTCCTACTCTCCTCTTTAAGGAGACTTCCTGTTTGGGGGGGCAGCAGCAGGGTGTCTGCGACCAATAGAGAGCGGTTTTCCCATGTCAATGTTCTCCGGGGGGCAGGTAAGGATAATGAAACGTTTAATGAAATCTGTCTGGTTAGTTAAATCTCTGATATGTCAGTTCATACATCCATTAAAAGCTATAAACTACACAGACCTGCACGGCTCAGGGATACCTGACTAATCTAATCACTACTCCACTGGGAAAATATAGAAAAGACGAGGCAAAGAAGGTAAGTGCTTTATGAGAAACAAGTTCCAGTAGCATTGCCAATAGATGTGTGTCGGGCAGAACTGCGTCAATTTAACAACCAACTATCTAAGATGCTTTGCTACTAGCACTGTGTGTGCTGAGATAACTTCTTAACTGAGGAAAAAATACTTGATATGTGGTTGTCTACACAGGCTATCTCTAGATTCACTCTGTACGTCCCTGTGAATAAGAGCAAAATCACTGAGAGGTTTCTGTTGCGTAACCTTTAGCGGGGAGATCAAAATGGGTACACAGTTTATCAGTGTTCTTTCTGTGCGTGGCATGTTCTTAAACCTCAGTCAGTTCCTATATATCCATATGATTAGTCATAGGGGGTTAGCCGAAACGTGTCAGAGTACCCGAGAATAGCTTGTGTAACACAACCCAGGGTTACCAAATATTTCATCATCTGACATCTGCTACACGGCTGCTGCTCCCAAGGCTAGACTGGTGTCAGATCAGTTTGTGCTAAACAGCGAAGAACTGGTCCGGAACCGGGTTGGATGCCAGGTCCTGACCAGATTCAGGGGTCGAAGTTCAGGAGTGGGGGTCAGAGGGCCGGAATGCGCTGCGGGCCAGTGGGTCTGACAAACAAAACACAGAAGTCGTGGACACTGTTGGTGGAAAGTAGTAACCGTAAAATGGTAGAGTACAACTAATGCCAATAAGCGTCAGAACATTACTTATTCCAAAAAATAAAAAAATGAAGGAAAGTTTGTTGCTAGTGTAGAGAAAGGCAAAAATACAAGCAGGTCAAAGAAAGAGAACAGTCCTTCAACTCGGTCAGTGAATGTGGAAAACAAAGGACCCGCCCATCACCAGTCTCCATCTTGTATGGTGAGAGGAGACCCACATCAACAGCTGAACTTCCCTCCACTCTCTCTCTCTAGGACTGAAGCTGAAAGCGAGGAAAGTGGGTTAATCACACCGCGAAACACCGTCTAGCTACCGGCTGATATCCTAGTGCGGTGGCCGGTGTCTCCCTGTCACGGTCAGAAACACATTACGAGGCAATTCGTTATTAAGTCTTCGTTTGATTATGCGTCGACCGAGCACAGTTCAGCAGTTCCCAGTGCTGTCAGGAGGCTTGGCTGGCTGCCACGACCTATTCCCTACATAACAGGCGGATTAACCAGCAGCCCCTGTATGACTCTGTGGTTGCCCCTGCCACACTACCCACACTGAATCCGTGCTCCGGGTCGAGATGGCGTGATGACGTGTCTGTCTGTCGCCTGATAAATGACAACCTGTTCTGGCATGCCTTTTTGACCGGGCCCAGGACGTTTAGTTTCAAACGCTTTAGCAGGAGCTGCGTTCATGTGATTTGCTTTAGGTATACTTTCAATGTCCCCGTTTTGAAAACGAAAACAGACTTAGTGAGACGTGCGCTACTTTGTGCTGAGCTGAATATCGTTTAGGTTGTTTTGTTTTGAGGAGGCCATTAGAAGCAGTTGGTTATAGCTCAGTTTGGTAGAGTGCATGCATGCACGTATGTATGATGTCCTGGGTTCAATACCCAGCTTCTACCCTGGTCGCCATTGCAAATGAGAATTTGTTCTCTATCAGCCTACCTGGATAAATAAAGGTACAAAAATGTATGGGTGTCCTGAATACTTAGACTATCCACAGTATTCATTGAGTTGGTTATGGAATCAGTTCAGTATTCGGAAGCTTGGTTTTTGTAATTCTGTTGCTACAAAACTTTGCAATAGTAGACTACACAAAAATACATTTAGTTAACTAAAGGTTTTTAATATATATATATATATAATATATATATATATATATATATATATATAGCTATATATTAAATAGGGCTGCTTTTGTTAATATTTAGAATATATAAACATATAGGTGCATCCCCAGACATCGAAACCATCAACCTCAAAAAGAATCCAACGGACACTGCAGTTTGTGAACCCTATCACAGAGTAAAGAGAAATATAAATATCTATAGGTAGGCTAGTAGGCTACCATCAGCACTATTGTCTATAGGTAGGCTAGTAGGCTACCATCAGCACTATTGTCTATAGGCTAGTAGGCTACCATCAGCACTATTGTCTATATGCAGGCTAGTAGGCTACCATCAGCACTATTGTCTATAGGCAGGCTAGTAGGCTACCATCAGCACTATTGTCTATAGGCAGGCTAGTAGGCTACCATCAGCACTATTGTCTATAGGCAGGCTAGTAGGCTACCATCAGCACTATTGTCTATAGGCAGGCTAGTAGGCTACCATCAGCACTATTGTCTATAGTCTATAGGCAGGCTAGTAGGCTACCATCAGCACTATTGTCTATAGGCTACCCATCAGCACTATTGTCTATAGGCAGGCTAGTAGGCTACCATCAGCACTATTGTCTATAGGCAGGCTAGTAGGCTACCATCAGCACTATTGTCTATAGGCAGGCTAGTAGGCTACCATCAGCACTATTGTCTATAGGCAGGCTAGTAGGCTACCATCAGCACTATTGTCTATAGGCAGGCTAGTAGGCTACCATCAGCACTATTGTCTATAGGCAGGCTAGTAGGCTACCATCAGGTCTAGGCTAGTAGGCTACCATCAGCACTATTGTCTATAGGCAGGCTAGTAGGCTACCATCAGCACTATTGTCTATAGGCAGGCTAGTAGGCTACCATCAGCACTATTGTCTATAGGCAGGCTAGTAAGCTACAATCAGCACTATTGTCTATCAGGTATTGTCTAGGCTAGTAGGCTACCATCAGCACTATTGTCTATAGGTAGGCTAGTAGGCTACCATCAGCACTATTATCTATAGGATAGTAGGCTACCATCAGCACTATTATCTATAGGCTAGTAGGCTATCATCAGCACTATTGTCTATAGGCAGGCTAGTAAGCTACCATCAGCACTATTGTCTATAGGCAGGCTAGTAGGCTACCATCAGCACTATTGTCTATAGGCAGGCTAGTAGGCTACCATCAGCACTATTGTCTATAGGCTAGTAGGCTACCATCAGCACTATTGTCTATAGGCTAGTAGGCTACCATCAGCACTATTTTCTATAGACAGGCTAGTAGGCTACCATCAGTACTATTGTCTATAGGCAGGCTAGTAGGCTACCATCAGCACTATTGTCTATAGGCAGGCTAGTAGGCTACCATCAGTACTATTGTCTATAGGCAGGCTAGTAGGCTACCATCGGCTCTTTGCCAAACAATGTCGTTGGTTTTGTTTATTCGTCAGGTTTTTTTTAAACGTCAGATTATATCCAATACACCTACATTTTTCATGGTTTGTCATGCTCTTTATCTTGGCTTGTTTTTTGTTTTGCATATATCATGTTTTCGAAGCCATAACTATTGGTTAATACTGTCCTACTATTCTGTTAAAGCTTGCTTAGTTTGTGCACAATAAAAACTGTTGAAAAATAACTGGGGTTGTTATTTAATGCTTGAAAACATTGTTCAACACATTCCAGTTAATTTGGACTCAATCGTGCCCGGATTGTCATGGTTCCTAGTGGGCTAGGAAGGTGTTAGTTAGTTCAGTCACCGCTGTTATGTAGTTTACGAAATATTAACGATATTGTCGCTAATTAATCCTCATTGAAATACATTGACGGAATCTTCAAAACTAGAGTGAGAAAGCCCGTTCAGCAGAAAATGTAGAGAACATTTGTAAACTGCTCCTGCTGCCTGAGTTTCAACCCTTTACACACAAATGGCATATCAAAACGTTCATCTATTTGTGCTGTCACTCAAAATGTTCAAATATAAGCTGTAACATAAATATTGATTTCGTTATGTCCTTTTGTTTCCAACTTGCGCCTCCCCATAGAGATCCATTGAAACTGTGATTTTCTCCACTCTAATTTGAAAGCGATTTTTTGTGTTTTTTTGTTAGTTTGTAAATTGTGATAGCGCCTACATTTCTGGGGTTACATATACATATATCAAAATGTAGGCCTGGTTCTTAGGATTCTCATGATGTAATTATTTAAACTGTGTGGTTAGTAGAGCTAAAAGTATACGACCATGTCTGAATCTTTTGAAATGACAGAGAATAGACAGAGAAGCTGCATTTTCTGGTTGTTGATTGGTTAAATAGTAGGAACATTCTGGAAGGGGAGGGGGAGGCAGCGCTCTCTGATATCGATGAGAACAGGTGTTCCTCCTGACAAAGGCATGGCTGCCAGGCAACAGCCACAGACATATGCTGCTCCTGTATGACCGGTAAGTTCTTTCTCTGGGTCTCTGTTGACACGTTAGCATGTTAGCTAGCGTTAGCGCGCTAGCTAGCGTTAGCTACTCCTGTAAGTGTATGCATACATTCAAACAGCTAACAGCTGCTTAATAGGCAGGTTACACACTGTTTAATAGGCCTGTTTACACGTTAGCATGTTAGCTAGCGTTAGCGCGCTAGCTAGCGTTAGCATGTTAGCTAGCGTTAGCGCGCTAGCTAGCGTTAGCTACTCCTGTAAGTGTATGCATACATTCAAACCGCTAACAGCTGTTTAATAGGCAGGTTACACACTGTTTAATAGGCCTGTTTACACGTTAGCATGGTACCTAGTGTTAGCGCGCTAGCTAGCGTTAGCATGTTAGCTAGCGTTAGCTACTCCTGTAAGTGTATGCATACATTCAAACAGCTAACAGCTGCTTAATAGGCAGGTTACACACTGTTTAATAGGCAGTTTATAATGCTGTTCAATATGCTACTATGGTGCATGCAGCAGCAGTGTGTATTCATGAGTAATGACTGTTAGGTTTAACACATTTGCATACTATGGTGCATGTAGCAGCAGTGTGTATTCATGAGTAATGACTGATAGGTTTAACACATTGCATACTATGGTGCATGCAGCAGCAGTGTGTATTAATGAGTAATGACTGATAGGTTTAACACATTGTATACTATGGTGCATGTAGCAGCAGTGTGTATTCATGAGTAATGACTGATAGGTTTAACACATTGCATACTGTGGCGCAGCAGCAGCAGTGTCACCTCAGTTTGGCAGTTGATATCAGTACACAGTCAATTTCAGCAGAAATTGTAACCTATCTAGTTGAAGTGTCACGGCTGTTGGGGATTTGGTGACTATGTGTGTTTTAAATTCACCTTATTTGGGATTCACATTTGTTGGTTATTGTTTCCAGTTCACAAGTTGTATTAAGGTGAGAGTGTGCTATTTCAAAGTGTTTTTATTGTTGTTTGAATGTTGCTGTGTATGCGCAATATTATTTCAAACAAGTTAGTTGTTTTCCCCGTTCAGGGTTTGTTTTTTACGTTTTGTGTATGAATGACCTGTGTATGAATGGGTTTCATGCACTACATCTCCTGAAAACGTGACAGAATACCCACCCCGAACAAAATGAGCCATCGGAGCCTGACGGTGGTAGAGATTCTCCCACGTCGCCCTACGCTTACTTGGGATACGAACCACTGATGCAGCGATCACAGCCGATTAAAACAGTCCTTCCATGAAGAAGGGAAGATTCCCCAAAATGTTGTTATGTTGGAGGGAGTTAACGAGGTGTTCATGGAGGACCTTGGGTGTTTTGTGCCACAGCAACCGCCGCCCACTGCTCCGGGGCTGCAGACGGGAAGACCAAACCCTGGAGCTGCAGCCACAACCCAAGGCTAGAGCTGCCAGGACCGGGCCCCGCCAACAACAACCTGGTGGGCCTGGAGGAGTGGCCTCTTCCTCCCACTGCGGGCCTGGTGGAGTGGCCTCTTCCTCCCCCTGCGGGCCTGGAGGAGTGGCCTCTTCCTCCCACTGCGGGCCTGGCGGAGTGGCCTCTTCCTCCCCCTGCGGGCCTGGCGGAGTGGCCTCTTCCTCCCCCTGCGGGCCTGGAGGAGTGGCCTCTTCCTCCCCCTGCGGGCCTGGAGGAGTGGCCTCTTCCTCCCCCTGCGGGCCTGGGGGAGTGGCCTCTTCCTCCCCATGCGGGCCTGGAGGAGTGGCCTCTTCCTCCCACTGCGGGCCTGGGGGAGTGGCCTCTTCTTCCCCCTGCAGGCCTGGGGGAGTGGCCTCTTCTTCCCCCTGCAGGCCTGGGGGAATGGCCTCTTGAGGTGAGAGTGTGCTATCTCAAAGTGTTTTTGCTGTTGTTTTTTTTATGAGTCGCTTTGTATGCACAACCGTTGGTTTACGTTTTGAATATAAATAAACCTGTCTTTCGAACGGATACCTGGCTCTGCACTTTTATGCGCTACACCTCCCGCGATCGTGATACAGATGGTGTTTTAGTTCACTTTGAGTAGTTTTGCAAGCCTCTGGGGAAGAGATTGATTAGCGTAATCACCGGTAGGCTATACGCCTTTTATGTTTAATTATTAAACATTAATTGTTGAGGTTTTTTAAAGGTGTTTTTGAGAACAAGAATTTGAATACTCGTTTGGATGACAATGGAGTATTCAAAGCTTGTAAATGAGTTTTTGGGCCAGCCCTACAAGCCAAATCATAGGGAGGTGCTCATTTGAGAAGTGGGAAATTAATTTGACCGCTACACGAAGTAGGCCTGTGTACGCTATCAATATAAACTGGCAATACTAATATTTGGGAGTCT